TAGTAGTAGTAGTAGTAGTAGTAGTAGTAGTAGTAGTAGTAGTAGTAGTAGTAGTAGTAGTATATCAATAACAGTAGTGATAATAATAAATAGTGCTAATTAATTTAGCATAAGGCCTACACAATGCAGAATTAGCATTCAATACAGCTGAAAAATGAAGAGACAAAAAAATGTTAAATGTGAGATAATTTAACTGCAGACAGACAGACAGACAGACAGACAGACACACACACACACACACACACACACACACACACACACACATATCTTTCTTCGGCTTTCCAGGATGGGGCATGGGTTATGTACGAGAAGAAGTGCTGCCAAGTCTGTGGCAGCAAGAAATAAGTGATAGAAGCCTATGTTCAAAAGAACTATTCATGTTCAGAACTTCAATTAATAAAGATTAAGAAGAACAGAACAGTTGTACTTTTAAAATGTATACCTGAAACGTTGTTTTTTTTTTGGTGAATACTTGTTGTGGCCGAGGCTCACCTAGACTGTACCTCCAGCGGCCCCGGGTAATTTGAGTTTGAGACCCAAACAATGAAGCATAATTTTTGGTTGGCACATAATGTTCATAATGTTTAATAATAATAATATTCCATCTCGTAACCAACGCATACGCCAAATGTTTTTTCTCCATCAAACGACTCTGCCTTTTACTTTAGGTGTCATAAACAAAAAGACTAAACATCTGCTTTCTGATAGTTTACTAAAAATCGTATTTTGGTATGAATGTAAAGCAATAGAACAGCTGTACGGAAAAGTCAGAAGTTGTGGATCTACATAACTCCCGTTAGAGCCCAGTGTATGTTACCTAGATCTAGATCTATGTGATAAAATACTATACTGTTTTTACATTGAACCCGAGGAGAAAAGGCAAGTTGTCTATAGATCTATATATATTTATGATAAAGATCATCTGAATACTTTTAGCTTTAAAAAAAGGTGCAAAAACTGCTCTGAATACTTTATCCGTCCGCGTGTTCGCCATGTGTAATGATTGTTGTTTCTGTTTTCGCAGGGAGTTTGTGGAACAACCTAAAAGGTAAGACCCCGTCTCCATTATATTATGGTATCCTAAAGCTAGAAACAAGCATGTTAAAAAAAAAAGAAAGAAAAGAAAACATGACAGCATAATTCACCCTTTGAAACTATGCATAACTATAATATAACAATATATATATATATATGTGTGTGTGTGTGTGT